CAGTGGCCCGTGAAGTGGTCCGGTACCGCGCTCCGGCAACCGTGGTGCCGCACGTGGCGGCGGCGGAGTTCCCGTTGACTAATTCATACACGATTCCAAAAGGCGCAATCGTGTTCCCATCTGCGTACGAGTCGAGCTTCCAGGGTTTCATCGAACCGGAGCGGTTCGATCCGGACCGGTTCTCGGAGGAAAGGCAAGAGGACCGAATTTTCAAAAGAAACTTTCTGGCATTCGGTGCTGGGTCCCACCAGTGTGTTGGGCAACGGTACGCCTTAAACCAACTGGTTCTCTTCATCGCCATGTTTTGTTCGTTACTTGATTTCAAGCGGCACAGATCTGACGGCTGTGATGAAATCGCCTTCAATCCCACTATCTGTCCCAAAGATGACTGCATGGTCTCCATCTCCCGGCGGTGCCCTCGATTCCCCAATCTCTCGCTTTAATTATTTTCCAAATCTCCAAATTGCCCTCTTCCTCTTCTCTGTAGTTGCTGCACTGTACCTTTTTTTTTTTTTTTTTTTTCATATTTGTATCTGCGTGGAAAAATGAACGGCTGGGATTCTTTGGGGGGGAGAGGGGGAATGTGTGTGTTTTTCGTTGATTTGATTATTGGAGCTGTCGATTTGCATTTAAAAGGAGGATGCTGGCCTGGCGATGACTTGTCCTTTCTAGTTAACAAATCAGCTTCACGTGGATGGCCCGGCCATCTGTCCATCCACTTATCTCATCACTACTTAATAATTTTATTATTTTGGGTTAGATATATTCTCTCATTTCCTAAATGTAATTACGCAATGATTTTTGGTTCATGTTGATATTTCTTTGCATGGAAATTCGATTTCCGACGTTGCCTTTCAAGCATCAGATCAGTTGGTTAAAGCCTTAAAGCCTACACTAGAGGGGTTTGACCATTTTTGTGTTTATGGGACCCCCTCAAATGAGATGGTGATGTAAATGTCATTTTTGGATCAATTTTCAATACTACCAAATATTTATTGAATATATTTAGTGTAAATAAAATGAATTTCCGACTTTATAGTTAGAAACTTTCCCATTTCATCCCAGCTATATTTACCTTTTTCAATCAAACTGTTTTACTAACAATAAAGTTATTTTAAAAAAAATAATTCCCCCATTCTTATTTAAATTGATCCAGTAGAAAGTATCTCGTTTATGATAAATAAAATTAAACTTTATATCTTAGAGTTCTAAAATTAAATTTATTAGACATGAAATTAAATTTTTAAAAATTTATCGAATATAAAATTAATAGATAAAAGAAGATATTTGTTATTAATTATTTATGGCGTCCATCAAAGTTGTTAGCTTATATATTCTCTTTATGAGCATCATTATTGGGAAGTTGTTAGTTGTCCAATTTTTATTGTATGTATTAGGTCACTTTAAACATTTATTATTATTATTAAAATATTATCTCATTTATTTCATTACAACACCTCTAATAAATGGATAAATAGTTAATTTTAAAAAGACTTATTAGAGGGAGGAAAAAAAAGAGAGGGAGATATATATATATATATATATATATATATTTGAAATTAATTATTATTTTTAAAAATGATAACTAGTTTTATAATAAAACTATAAGACATTATTGTAAGATTTTTCTAAAACATGAAATAAGTTTTTTTTTTTTTGGAGTTTGTCAGTTAGTAAGTAAACAACTAATTCAATCAAGATTCAAATCTTTCTTTTCCTTTCATTTATTAAAAAGATGTCTTCAGTTTAACTAAAAGCTGGCAATTAGTATCCATTTCCCAATAGCTATAATAATTACATATTTTTGCATTCTACATTTTAATCTTTAAATTTTGTGATTTTACAACTTTTAAAAATTTCATTCATATTTTTAAACTTAAAAAAAAAAAAAAAAAAAAATATATATATATATATATATATATATATATTTTTATATATATATATTTATATTTATCACTAATTTTAGAGATTAAAAAAATACCCATCAATTTTCAAAATGTGGCATTAACATTACACCTAGTCACCTCCTATTTTTCTCTCTAATATGCTTCAATTTATGAATAAACTCTTTCCTATTTTCCTCTCTTTTTTTCTCCATATATCCTTCAACCAATGGGCCTCATCCAAGAGGTAATGTTGGGCTTCCTGAATTGGGTGATTTGGGCCGCAGGGCTTGACCCATTAACTAGACTTGCAGAAAAAAACGGCGGTATTCATTGGAATTATAAATAATTTATAAAAAAATAGTTTAATTTTATACAATTTTAAACATTTGTTAATCAATTACATTTTTTGAATTTTATTTTATATATCGAATACCACAAATATCAGTGCTACTTAAAGATTTTTTATTTTTTATTTTTAATATAATTTTCGAGATACAAATTTTTTAAGATTTTAAATGAAAACAATCGCATAACCAAGTTTGGTCCGAATTTGTGATGTTGTCAAAGTTATTTATAATTAATTTATGCATGAAAGAAACTCAATTAAAAATAGAGTTTAATTAAAAGAAAAAAAGAAAATACAATTAAAACATCCATTAGGGTTTTGGGCAAATTGCACCAAAAATTACAATGTATATAAAGACGACGGGAACTAGGGTTTTCGTTCGTGTCTTAGCCGCAGAAATCCTCCTCCTCAGAGAAAGCACCAGACGGAGCGTCCAGAGCTCTGCAATCGTCGCAAATGGTTACTTTCAGGGTAAGGCTTCCCTGTCTGAAATCTAATGCTTTCTTTATCTTTCTTTAGTTATAGGATTTGCAGAATAAGTTAATGGAACCGAGTTAAATTCAAGTATCCTTCTCGCTCTCTGTGTCTGTTATTTATGGAGCCGTTTGGAGGCAACGAAAGGAAATGGCTTGTTGATGTGGTTCAATTTGGGGTGATTTTTTTTTTTTTTTTTGCAGTTCCACCAATATCAGGTTGTGGGGAGGGCTCTCCCATCCGAAGCAGATGAGCATCCCAAGATTTACCGAATGAAGCTGTGGGCGACTAATGAAGTTCGCGCCAAATCCAAGTTTTGGTGAGTTTTCTCGTGTTGTTCTTTGATTGCCTTGTTTGAGAAAGTGTTATGTAAGTTCTTTTGGATTTATAAAATCCAGTTTTGATGCCTGATTTTGAAGTGTTAGCTAAACCCTATTTCTCTCTTTGTTTTTATTTTTCTTGCTTGGTCATAGGTATTTTCTGAGGAAGCTGAAGAAAGTCAAGAAGAGCAACGGCCAGGTGCTCGCCATCAATGAGGTAACGTGTTTTTTTTCCTCACGCACTTCTTCCTGTTAGAAGGGTCTAAAATTGTTATGCCGAGTATGTTTATCCGATCACATTGTAAATGAATGATCGCTCTGCTTTCATCATTCATCGATCTGAACTATTTCTCTTTTGCTTCTTTGTAAACTGTTGCCATGATTAACTTGTTCAGTGCTTTATCCCTTTCTGATGCGGTAGTGAAACTCGGAGGGGATTTTTGTCCTTTGAATTGTTTATAGTATTGTCATTGTGAGCGTAAATGTGAAGAACTTATTGTGGGATGAGAAATTGGGTGTATTTTCTCGTGTTTTGTTTTGTTGTAAGATTGATTCAATATCAATCTTCCGACTATGAATTTGTGATGCTTTTTGAATCGTGAATCTTGTAATATAAGAGAAAAAATTATCAGCCGTATTGATGAATGATTTTGATGTGTCCGTATGGGGGAAGTTTCCTCTGTGATTGCAATGGATATCTTGGTGTAACAAAGTTTGGCATCAATGGTGATTTTTTCCTCCAATTCCATTTCCATAGCTATTTTCTGGAGTTGGGTTGCTGAGTTCTAACACGGATAGTACTGATTCACTAGCTATATTATTCAGTTGGGTTTTTCTGATGGAATCGTCATTGTCTTCAGATCTTTGAGAAGAATCCAACGAAGATCAAGAACTATGGTATTTGGTTGCGTTACCAAAGTCGCACGGGTTATCACAACATGTACAAGGAGTACCGTGATACCACCTTAAATGGAGCTGTGGAAGCAATGTACACCGAAATGGCTTCTCGCCACAGGGTCAGGTCTCCTTGCATCCAAATCATCAAGACAGCAACCGTCCCTGCTAAGCTTTGCAAGAGGGAAAGCACCAAGCAATTCCACGACTCCAAGATCAAGTTTCCCTTGGTGTTCAGGACTGTTAGGCCACCCACCAGAAAGCTGAAGACCACTTACAAGGCTTCAAGGCCCAATTTATTTATGTAATTTGCTTGTTTAAGGAATGAGAAAAAGCTATCAGAGTTGTCTTATTTTGAAATCTTCGTTAGAGACCTTATCAGCTGTTCTTCAACGTTTCTCTTCATTTTATATATTATGGGATCAGACATTAATTTTTTGGGTTTATGTCATTTGGTTTCTTATGGAAGTGATCAGCGCCTTATTTAGTCTATGAATGTCATATTGATCTACTTGTGTTGCCTAATGTTGGCTATCAGGTAATCGATGCATGACAAGCAATGGAATCCTGTGGTTTTATGTTCGACTCCCATCGCCCAATACCAACTTGTGGGATCTTGAAATATTCATTTTAATGATGGTTTAATTTAGTACAACATTGCAACGTAGATTTATGGTTTAATTTATGGTTTAATTAAGTCCATTGTAGGGTAGGTTTATTCTTAGCCGATATTGTCCCTTGTAATAGCTCAAGTCTATCATTGTCTTCACTGTGTCTGTCTTCATTGTGTTTCTCTTTTTTAACTGTATGAAATTTAGATTAAAAATACCTCATTCACAATTTTAAAATTATAGTTTTTGGGATTTAGATTAAAAATATCTCATTCACAATTTTAAAATTATAATTATTTTCATATAATTTTATTAAATTTAATCTTCTAACGATTATAAATCATATATTTCTAAAATTGAGGCGTGTTATAATTTGAAAATAATAATAATAATATCACTATGGGCTGCATTGAACCTAGGTTTAAATTGAGCTCCACCCCCAGCCCGAATCATCGGCAACCAATAAACCGGATTGAGTCACATACAGAAAGGGCGAGCACGACCGGTTTCATCTCGGACTTCGCAGAGAAGAAGAATCTAAACAAGTAGGGCATCTGAATTCCTCATATTTTCTTTCTTCGATTGCTCCTTCACCATTACTGGAGAAGATGGGAGAGGAGGGAAAGAAAAAGAGGGTGGTTGTAGAATCGCTGGGATGGCTGACGGAGTCTTCGATCATGCCGAAAAAGCACAAGGCCATAGCTGGTGTCGGCGCATCTTCAATCATGGAGCTCAAGGCTCACCTCTACAAGTCTCAAGAAGAGTCCAAGAAATCCAAGGAATTGGCTGGCCCCGACGTCGAGTTCCACCGTGCAAAGAAGAAGATTACTCCCAAAGACCTTCTCTCCTCCCACAATTCCGGCGTCGAGGCCCGCGCTCTCAAGTATGTTTTCGATTTCTTCTTTTATGAGTTCCTATTTTAATTTTTTTGGTTGAATTTGTGAGTGTCTGTTTGGATTTGGTCATTGGAGTTTGGGGTCTACGAGCATCGAAGACTGCATTGGATTTTTTTTTCTAATAGCTTTTCACTTTAGATTCAAAGCGAGAATGGAATTGATTCATGTGAGTCTGAAAGAACATACCTGAATCAAATGAATGGTTTCCTCTGTATAAAGAGCGATGCAGTAATTCATATGCGCCTACAAGCTCAACTAATTTATAATAAGAGCCTTAGTCTTGTGTCTCAAGTGAAAATTTAAAACTTCGAAACTTGTCCCTCTGCTATGAGTGCTTTAAACATTAGTCCGAATTCCGCTGCTAATGGAAAAGTTCATGAAAGTATTACCAAGTTACTCTACGTCCCCAACTAAAAATTGACCTGATCCTGCCTGTTTGCAGAATGAAGAGCTAAAAGTAACCTAATTTCATCTGTCAAGGGAAAGTGTCTGAACATTTAATCGATGCATGGCATTAATAACTTGTCATTTTAGAGCCAAATATTTAGAGGATGTGAGTCAAGTCCTTAACATGGATGATGGACTGATGCACTCATCTTGCCACATTCCGTAATAGGTAACCCCATTTGATGTCTTTTGATCTGATTTTGCCACTGTATTTACTCTTATCATGATTGAGGAAATATGGTTTAGTTTAGGAAAACCACCTCTCATAGTTGGGATTACATCTTCAGAAGATCCTTAATTGAGGAAGATATCTCCGAATGGCCCTTTAAGCCTTCCAGCTCGTTCTACGTTTGCTCCCTTTCCAATTCTGATTCAAAATTAGGGCCTTTTCCATTCTCTAGTGGACTTTGCATTGAATGGTAAATTTCCCAAAAAAATTTAAAAAATTTCTATAGGCATTCAACCTTGAAAGTATCACCACACGTATAATCCAGAGAGATATCCAAAGCAACCTCACTCCAGGTTGGTGTCTTTTGAATGATACCGAGACACAAGGTCACTTATTTTGCACTGTTCTTTTGTTAACAAATTGGCATGTGGCACTCTTCCTAACAAATTAAATGGTATCCTGGCTACCATGTTGACTTGACATTATCATCCTTTTATGAAGAAAATGGGGATTCTTTGGCTAAAAATTTGGTAATGGATTGCCTCAATCGCCTACTCACCAATGCTGAATTTGAAGGGCAAATGAAGGACTTTCAGTTTGGTTATGAAGGCTTAAGCATCAACCACCTTCAATTTGCGAACGATATAATCCTCTTCTCTAATTTACTACATGTCTCCTCCTTAAAAACATGATCGAGATCGTAAAAACCTTCAAATCTTCTCTGGACAAAATATCAATCTCCAGAAAATAGAGATTGTGGGCAGCAATGTTAGCATAAAATTATCGAAGACATTGCCAACGGAATACGGTTGTAAAAAGGGTGAATGGCCAAATAAGTACCTAGGTTTACCTTTAAAGGGAACCCACATATCCTTCTCCTTCTGGAAGACCATTGTTAAAAAATAGAAAGAAGGCTATCAACATGACCATCATCTTATACTTCCAAAGGTGGAAGACTCACCTAATACAAGTCATATTGTCCAACCTCCCCACTTATTACATGTCTCTTTTTGAAATGTCACAAAAAGTTGTTAGATATAGAAAAATTATTTAGAAACCATATGTGGAAAGATGGCTCACACCCGTCCGATGGAATATCATGAATCTCCCAATAGACAAGGGAGGACCATGGAATATCATGAATCTCCCAATAGACAAGGGAGGATTTGGTCTATTTTCAATGAAGGAGAAGAACAAAGCTCTCTTTGCCAAATGGATATGGAGATAACATCACGAAGGAAATGCCTTGTGGAGAAAACTTATACAAGCTAAATATACTCCATAAATCAACTCTCTCCAACTTCCTCAAAGGGGCCATGGAAGTACATCAAAAAAATATCAAAACCTCATCACTATCCAAATTTGCCATAGGGTGGGTGATGGAGGAAGCAATTTTTTTGGGCTGATCCATGGATTGAAAATACCACGCTAGCCTTGTGGTATCCATTTTTTTATGGGTTGTCTCATAACAAAACAACCACAATCAAAGAAACATGGAATGATGTCTAACAATTTTTAGGAGCTGAAGCTTAGTAGGAACCTAAAGGATACTGAAGCTATGGAATGAGCCAAATTAATTCTCGATCTTGCCTCTTGCCTCAGTTGTATTGTCTAAAGAAGCAAACTCATTGACATGGCTTCCTGGTGTTGATGAGGTCTTCTCTACAATATCCGTGATGATGGATATAAGGAAAAAAGTAGAAGCAATAAACTCCACGCTAGCAAAGACAATATGGAAAGGAAATCACCCAAAAAGGTGAAGTTTTTCTCCTAGGAAATAGCACATAGAGCCATTAACACAAGTGAAAATCTACAAAAAAAAAAAAAAAAATTAAAAAAAAAAAAAAAAAAAAAAAAAAAAAAAAAAAAAA